GGGGGGTTGCAGACACCCAACTTTTTTTTTAAACGGAAGGGTAGGCTGATTAATTTTTTATTTGAAAGCTTTTTCAATTACAAATACAATCACATTTTTTTTTATAAGCAATGTTTCGGAAAAAAATGAAATAAGGAAATATTTACTAAAATTACTTTAATGTATAGGTACATTCTTAAGCTATTGCATAGCCTTTATCGCGGGCTTTGAGTGGCGACCGAATCAAGAAATTTCGTAACACCGTAACGAAAATAAACCTAACACCCCCCAATCCGACCGGCACAGCAGTGTGACGTTAAAGCCATGGAATGTTATGTCCGACCCTATTCGTATTAGTATGAAACGAAGTTAAATATACGTCTGCGGACTGAAACATTTGTGCAATACAAGAACTAGAAGAGCTTCTAATAAATTGGTATCACAAATGTTCCCGACAATTAAAAATTTAGGTAATTCTAAAAATACTAGTAATTTAGGCAGACACTTTTGAGAGGGTTTAATTGCCGGCCAACATTAAAATAAGTCTTATTTAGTGTAGAAAGAGATTTTAAATTCACATTTCGGGGTATAATGAAAAAATGCATTATGTTTAAACTTTTAATCTCTCAAGATTAAAAATTAATACAATTAAGTAATAATGATACTTTTATAGTTTTTAAATCATATATTTATGTGATTCCATTAAATTACAATATAGGTATCATTTGACATGATAAAATTTTGTAATATTTGTTATAAATTTGTAATAAATTGTTATATATTATTATAAGCGATTCCAAACATCTATCAATATGTCCTCGGTGCTGGCGCAAAGCGCAAAGTGGTCGTAATGTGGATAGTGTGGGTAACAAGTTGGTGGTTCGAGCCCCGAAAATTTTGGTTTTTTTTTTTTTTTTTTTTTTTTTTAAAAAGGAATAATATTGTTTTATTATTTCACAGTCTTGGTAATTTAAAATGTTTAGTTTTTAAAAATTATATACTTATTCAATGCATAGTGGCGCATAACGAGGTTCTTTCAAGTTCAGCTAATTTTAAAAATGCAAGCTACCAGTGGAGACTTCGTTTATTTAAATTCAAAAAAATAGGAATAGTATATTACATTACAAGTGTGGAAAATCACTGAATAAGTATATACCTTTTAAAAACTAAACATTTTAAATTACCAAGACTGTGAAATAATAAAACAATAATATTTTTCCTATTTTTTAAGAAAAAAAAAAACTAAAAGTTTCGGGGCTCGAACCACCAACTTGCTATCTACACTATTCAAACCCAAGTAGGTGTATGTCATCTATGTACAACAGTGAATAGCTGTACGCGTTAAATTTGTGTATAAAGTGTTTTAAATATGAATAAACAAAGTGCATTTATTAATGAAGAAAATGATGAAAAAATATTGAAAGTAAATGAGTGAGTACTCTATGTACATACATTTTATTATTATCACAAATGCAGTATTTAGTACCTTTTAGCCCAAGAGCCCACTGCAAATTTCGACCGTCATCTGATAACGACATGAAATATACTCCAAAGACATGTAACAACATTGTACTTTACCAAATTGCACCTGTGCCAATCCCTATCCTGAGCAAAGTGGTTAAAAACATTATTTTATAAACATCTAGTGTCAATAATAAAAATAACTGAATAACCTACATGTATTGTAAGAAATTAAAAATATTTTAAACAATATTAACTTCTCATTTATTCAATTTATCGGTCATCACGCTCAAAAAGTGTAACTTGAATTAATATCAAAGAAAAAACTTGAATTATTATCAAAGAAAAAAATACTGCATAAATAAAATAAATAAATAATTATAATTGCATAAGTTGATAAAAATGCTATGCAATAGCTTTACCGCGGCAGTCCCCGAGTGCCACACGTTTTTTTTCTTACTTGATGAGCCCAATAAAAAACCTGCTCGATAGTTTTTTGGTTAATTTGAACTAAATATGATTGATTTGTTAGTACTTGTTTGCATTTCAACGTGTAAATTAAAAACTAAAAATAAGAAAATGCCCTATTTAACTGAGACGCATCGTATCGAAATTTTAATGATGATCGGATATGGGACAGAAGTCGAACACAGGCTGAAGTGTCGCTTGTTTGTTTATTGAGTTTCATCCAAAATTCCCTTCAATTATTCGAAGTACGATTAGCAAAATTGAAACTCGATATCGGGAGTTGGGCCACGTAAGGGATGCTCCTCGACAAAAACTTTTAAAAATCGACGAAGAAGCCAAAAAGCACCCATATAAGATGCAAAACCTGCACGAGCTTTGGAAAGGGTGCTCTTTTCTGATGAAGCTACGTTCACATTACATGGGTACGTCAATCGGCAGAACTGCCGTTATTGCGCTGACGGAAATCCCCGTTGGATGCGTGAATGCCATATCCAAAGGCCTCAAAAAACAAACGTCTGGGCTGGAATTATTGGGGATCGCATAGTAGGTCCTTTTTTTTTCAATAGAAACGTAACCGGAGAAACATGCCTTACTATGCTCCAAGAAGAACTGATTCCTACTTTAGTGAATTTATTCCCCAATAATTTGGATCCCAACTTATTTGACCAACGGATGTGGTTTCAACAAGACGGGTCACCACCACATTTTGCTCAAAATATACGGACCTATCTTAACGAAGTGTTTCTAAATAGGTGGATTGGAAGAAGGGGCCCAGTTGAATGGCCAGCTAGATCACCCGATCTTACTCCATTAGTTTTTTATGGGGATATCTAAAGAACAAGGTTTATGCCACTAAACCTAACGACATCGCCGAGCTTCAACAAAGAATCAGGAATGAAAGTAGGCAGGTAACGCCGGAAGTGTTATAAAATGTTCGGAATGCTATTTATAATCGATTAGGATATTGTCAGCAACAAGGTGGAGAGCACTTTGAACATTTATTGCATTATAGTAGTTTCAATAAATATTTCCTTATTTAATTTTTTTCGACACATTGCTTATAAAAAGTAACAAAAAAATGCAATAGTATTTGTAATTGAAAAAGCTTTCAAATAAAAAATTATTCAACCTACCATTCTATTTAAAAAAAAGTTGGGGGTGTCTGCAACCCCCCCCCCCCCGATAATTAAAAAGATAAACAAATCTCTTTATGGCAAACCTTTATTTATCAAGTTACAGAATTTGTTCCAGTTAGACTTTCCACTCTGTACAGCCCAGTCAGTCGCCTATTATCATTCATTGTAGACCGCAGCCATGTTCAGCTATGTCATTAACGGAAAGCTCACTCTGTGAAGGAAGCTCCTTCGTAGTCCAGTTAGCTATCCACGTTTGGTATTCAGCTTTAAAATTGTCGATTTTCATTTTCTGATCGGTAGTAAAAAAATATTATTTTTTATGTTTTTGGGATGTGACAGGCTTAAAGAACCTATAGTACCTATCTAACAAAATATCAGTAATTCATATATTACACGTTGTTGATTAGGTCGTAAAAGCCAGGGAGGGGCTACTGCCCCCCTTGCCTTCTCCAAACGACGCCCATGGTAATGTATTTAAATAACTTTTTTCCAATACTGGAATGAGACCCCGGTTAAAGGTTAAAAAAATAAAAGTCGATTTTGATAATATATTTATTAAGTTAGAAATTCCACTTCACAATAAACAAATTACGTAATGCATAACGATAAAAATATTTGATATGTATTCTATCATTTATCTAATAATAGACCAGCCTTTATTAAAAATATTTTCAATACGGGAGGTACCTACATACATCATTGAAATTGATCGTATCATCGCGCACCAAGACACAAACATCTCCACTACTCTTCGAAAAAATATATTTGTAAAATTTTATCTATATATATTTTGACTATGTATAACATATATTGACTATACTTTCGCGTGTTGCGGATGTGATTGTGTTTGGTAATTTGGGAGGGCTAGGGGTGGCGTTTTTCGCACTCAAGTTATTTGGATGGTAAATGTCAGGTCGTTATCGTCAAGAGTTGCGTTGGCGGCACCGTTAATTTAAGATATGTACAAAAATCACAAGATCGGCTCTGCGGGAACCCCAGAGCTGCAGGGCGAATGCACGTTAGGCCCTTAAAGCGCATCCCCGCAACGCCGTGTTGCCACTGAATAAAAAATGCAAAATCTGCGCCTCCTTGTTGCCTAAAATGGAGTCACGCGAGCATCTCTGTTACCCTGCACCAATCGCAACAAAGGTTTCGCTTGGCTTCAGGTTTTTAGCACAAGTGGCAGGATTTTGATGTAAAAACCGTAAAACCGGCCAGCCGGTCACTTACTAACTATATATATATATTTATATATATATTTATCAATAATAATTATTAAAATCTTATACTAGTGCCATCATAATTGCTGTGAAGTATCTCACTCATGATCACTATATAGTTTGACAAACAGAGATACACTCTTTGGGAAACATTCAGATTCTAAATAACATTAATAAAAACTATATATATTATGTACTAGTAAATATAAATCTGTGTTATTTTAATGTGATCACACATCGTCTTATAGACTAAAAATACACTTATAACTATGATATGTGCCGTTTTTTTATTAAGACTTTCGTGCTTTGATATGTATTCATAAGTCTGTAAATTGGCCTTAGATCGTAATTAGTTAGACAGCCCCCGAGACAGCAAAAAAGGACTACCGGAACAGTGGCTGATCGACCAGAAGAAGCAGTTAATCTAACATCTTTTTCTCAAATAATTTATTTTCTCGCCGATTAAAAGCAAATTACTCATTTTTCAGACATAATATGTCAATCATTTTGCCTGCCTATGAAAAATAATTATATTTTAGGAATCATAACAGTTTGCAAAATATTTATTTTTCTTACGGTCTACGAAAACTGATATTTATTCTTGTTTTCATTTCCTTTATTAATCAATATGAACATCCCTTTAATAGATAAACAAAACAAATTCATAAATTTCGAAATTGTAAACTATACAACAAATCAAAGTAATAAATATACATAAACTAGTTTACATGTATTACTCCATTCTCATATAAACAATTAATACATATTAATCGGTTATTCTTTGAGTTTTTATGGTCGTAGGAAAAATAGTGTACATAACCCATTGGAAAGTGTATTTCGTATACAGTTGCCTAACTAGTTTTTAATATACTATTAAACAATCGGCGAGAAAATTACATGTTTAACTACATTGCTGTCCAGTTAAATAAATAACCATTAGCATCAACCTAACTGAATTAACCCTTGTTCTTTATTTTTAATATACAATAAAATGTTATTTGTGTTGTTTCACATAAACGATCAACACATTTTTAACACGTTAAGTGCCATGAGTTAAATAGGTCTCAGCTACACATATAGGTGGGGCTCGAATACTGTGTAGACATACACAAAGTATAGAAATGTTCACTAGATAAAATAATATGAGTCGCAAGAGCATGATCTTGGCACTTAACGTGTTAAATTACAATTTTTATAAAATGGATTAAGCCGAATGTAAATATTTCTATAACTTTGGTTTCAAGGTAAATTTAAAAATACAGTTGTCGTTTTAAAGGCCATACAATCTACAATGTGTCCTGTAAAAAGTTAATAGTGGTACGATCAAATTCAGGTACCTATTTATTATTATCAGATTAGAAGTATGTTTATGAAATATAGGTATATTAATTATCACAGCTTTTAATGCGATATAGTTTAATAAATATTTATTTTGATCAAATATTTAAAAGTATTTTAACTGTAGGTATATAAATGTATATGAAGTATAAACATTTTTTTTGAAATTATTGTACTTATTTGTACAAAAATTTTGTTTCAATTTGACACACATTTGTAGCTCTATTAATATCCAAAACGTCATTTTATAATAATTAATGTTGAAATTATAAGTTTTTTTATATATTACATATGCTAGAAAATGAGTTGACTATTTATGTGAAACATCAGTAGTAATAATCACAGACACAAAAAGGTCCATGTGTAGGTAACGGTAGAAAATATAAAATTAAAAGATTTTTAAATTTGAACACTTTGTTTTAAATAAAACATTCGTAATTTAGAAGTTTGGCGCTTGGAATGTTCAATCGTACACTGTATATATAAAAAATATTAAATCCAGTACATCACTTCATAACAGTTTTTCCCATATTCTTCTAGAAGATCTATGACTTAAATATTTATAGGAATTAATACAATAAGGACGTAAAAATCCATAAACTACATGTCTATCAATGTAAATGTAATACATGTTCTCGATTCATCATTAGATTATTATAACCCCTATCAATATAGTTTTAGATCTGCCACTGTCCGATACTTCCAAAATATATTTTTTTATTTTGTTTTTGGGAAATGGATAGGGGACGGATCATAACGGACTCTGCTGCTGAAACAGAAGACAGACAGACAGACTTAATACGGAAGGTAAGAATAAAAGTTTTTACTCAAAGGTTGATGAGGTTGGGGATGAGCGAAGAAGATAGCAGCAGGGTCGAGCAGAGTTCAGTCTAAAAATCCGGTGTTTACTAATTTTTCTAAGAAAAATTTCACATCGCCCAACTCCGAATCTTTAATACCTAAAGACTTTAACATTCCCAAGTCGCCGTTTTCTACGGCTATAAAAACTGAACGTAAATGTTCTAAATCCGACCTCATTAGGTGTAACGCCGCCCCGAAATCTTCAATCGTTTGTGATTCTGAAACAGAAAAACAGGCATATACAACATCACATTTTAAATTAGTACTCGAAATTTTGTTTCATTAAAACAATAAAGAACTGAAACGCACAGTTATGCATTTTCTGCAGGTTGGTAAAGTTGGCCCCCCAATATTTTCGAAAAAATAAAATATATTGCACTAGTGATGCACCAATATGCACCACTAATTCTTTTTTTGTACCTCCTTCCTTGATAAACTTAATCTATTTCTATGTAGGAGGTATAAGAGGGGTGTGGTAAATGAACACTGGTCCCTCTAGTAAAAATTTCATGATTTACTGTAATGCACCAGTTAACCCTTGTAATGCACCACTAATTAAACTTTTTGCACCACCTCCCGTTAGCAGTTATAGCTGTTTCTTTACCGTGAAGTTAGCATCTCCAATGATATTTTCGCAAAAATAAATATTGTATCGGTAACTCCTTAACTTCACTCTAAAGAAATTACTGTAACTACTTAAGGGAGGGGCGCAAAAAGTTTTTTTGATGGTGCATATGAATGCATTACAAGGGATAACTTGTGCATTACAGTACATCATAAAACTTTTACGAGGGTGTCAGTGTTCATTTGTTCCCACCTACTAGGGTTGCCACCTTTTTGAAAAGTGAATAAAGGACATTTAAAAAAAAAACTTTAGATAGTACCGACTTTATGATTTATTTTTTTATTTATGATGAAATTTTATTAAGAAAATGCACGAATTGTTTACTTAGGTTGATAGCTTAGATAAAAGAGACCAGAGATATAACATACACCGGTTTTAAACCTGCGCAAATGTTGTCAATTTCTAAAGAAGGGTTAACGGAGTGGGGGAACTGGGCGGCGACACGCGGCGACCCGAACTCTGTGACAGGGACCGGACTTTGTTTATTAGCATCTTAATGAACTATTAGGTTTATTTAAAAGGTGTTTAATCGAATTTTATATTATGAAATAAAATTAACGTGATTTTTTAATATTAAACAGATGCCACGACATTTTATCTAAAGAGAAGACCTTTTATAGAATATTTCGTTAGCGTTTATTTACTACGGACTTTTCTGCAAGAGATTACTGTAAAATGTTGAAATAGAATATATTGTTAATAGAACAAAAAATGTTACTCATTGTCTACGAGTATTATAAAAATAGCATGTGCGCAGGCTAATACTGCAAATCTACCCTTATGAGTTGAACATTATATTTTTTCTACGGCTATTACATATTATTAAAAATTAGTCAAAATGAGAAAATGCTGTTTTGTATTGTAACCTCAGAAAAAAGTATATTAAGGCTTCTTTCTTTAAGAATATTAATTATTATAAAGGATGAGTCACATAAAACTCTAGAAATGCATATGTCTGAAACCAGATAACATTTTAAAATTTAAATCTATTAAAAGTCATTTGGTCGCTAGGGATGAGTGATTATCAAAATAAATTATCGATCATTGAAAATAATCGATTATTTTCGATCAATCGATTATTTTCAAACAATATATTTTTTGTCATTTCCTTTAAAATCAACTACTTGATTATCTTTGAAAAATCAATAATAATCGATTAATTAAAGAGCCAATTAACCGATAAATCAGTGTTTACAAAATATAATATAAATAGAATTATCGTTTATTTTAAATAATCGATTATTTTCAAATGAACCATTTTTTTTTTCGTCCATGGAAACAGATTATTCGATAATCTTTGAAAAATCGAAAATAATCGATTAATCAAAAATAATCGATTAATTAAAAAGTCGATTAACTGATAAATCGATTTAAAAAAAAAACAGAATGATCGATTATTTTAAATAATTGATTATTTTCGATCAATCGATTATTATCAATAATCTATTTTTATTGTATTTCCTTTAAAATCGTTAATTCGATTATCTTTGAAATACCGAAAATAATCGATAATTCCAAAATAATCGCCTAATCGAAAATAATCAATTAATTAAGAAGCCGATTCTATGATAAATCGATTATTACGAATAATCTATTTTATTGTATTTCAAAAATAATCGATTAATTAAAAAGTCGATTAACTGACAAATCGATTTTCAAAAAAAAAACAGAATGATCGATTATTTTAAATAATCGATTATTTTCGATCAATCGATTATTATCAATAATCTATTTTTATTGTATTTCCTTTAAAATCGATAATTCGATTATCTTTGAAATACCAAAAATAATCAATAATTCCAAAATAATTCTCCTAATCGAAAATAACCAATTAATTAAGAAGCCGATTCTATGATAAATCGATTTTCCAAAAAATAAAACGAATTATCTATTATTTTCTAATAATCCTTTTTTCATATTTCCTTTGAAATTGATTATTCGATTATCGAAAATAATTGATTATTAAAAAGCTGATTATCCAATAAATCGATAATTTTAAAAAAATAACCAAAATATCGATTATGTAAAATAACCGATTATATTCAATCGATTATTTTCATATATCTTTGAAAAATCAAAAATAATCAAATAATTAAAAAACCAATTAAACGATAAATCGATTATTTTGAATAAATCTACTTTTTTTGTATTTCCTTTAAAATCGATTAATACATTATCTTTAAAAAAAACGAAAATAATTTATTAAAAACAGCGGATAAATCGATTTTCATTAAAAAATATCAGAATTATCGATAAATCGATTATTTTTGTAACCCCTATCGGTCGCTTGCTTTTATCTGAGCATTTAGCTCCAAAATTTAGAGATTCGGATTTTTTGATCCAGTTATCTTTGAAATCGCATTCGATTGTATAATAAATAAATATTGCTAAATTTTGGAGTTGTTTAGGGGTTTGTAATGTAACATTTTATTAACGTGACTAAGGGTCGATTCCACCGTTGTGTTAAACGAAGTTTAAAATTACATTTTAACATTAACACTGTCATTTTAATCTCCGTTTAACACAACGGTGGAATCGGACCTAATTCCTGTAACTTTAGTATTTTTTTTTTGCTTATACTAGATTACTTTGTTTTAAGACTGAAAATTCAATGTCACTTTCGATTTGACCGCAAATAAGATGAACCTTGAAATTTTAAGTAGGTCATCCTGTATTTCATCTAATATTCTTATAAAAATACCTTATAAAAATAAAATTTAGCTAGCCTAGCAACTATGATTCTTTACCTCTTATTTATCTACCAAAAAGGGCTAAAAACTATCTTTAGGAAACATTCTTATAAAACTACTTTTTAAATACAAAATTTCGTTAGCAATAATGCCTATTTACTATTTATTTAAATTAAATTTTCAAAATTTTACCCTTTTGTAAATTTATGTAAGTAATATGAAAACTGATTTCTGATGCTTAATATTTATTGAAACCCCTTAATGCGGATCTGAAGTATTCAGCCCAGAGAATCATGGCGCTTTATGTCAAAACGTTAATAAATATTTACCGCTGAAAACGAATATATTCATAACAGTAGTACTTGTATTATAAGTACATACAATTTTTCAAGATACATCGTGACATATTGAACTTGAAATTGAATAACTAGAACACTTTAAATTGCTAAAATACCAACAAATAAATCAAAAAAACAGCTGTCAATGGTGATTAAACTCAGGTGGAGGTGATCGCTGAATGGAAATCGGAGCAATTCGGGTGGTGTCGTGCAACAATGATTTTCAATTGGTGGGTTACTTTGGCTTAAAATAGACAACATGCGCAGTGTGCAATGTTACATCTTCGGTCTCTTTAATCTAAGGTTGATAGTAACGGCTTATGTTAGCCTAACCTGCAGGGTTATTCTACTAAATTTATAGCCCGGCTAAAAGTTTATAGCCCGGCTACAAGTTGGATTTTGAAGTTAGGAACATATAAAGTTCAAGCCAAAATCCAACTTGTAGCCGGGCTATAAATTTAGTAGAATAACCGTGCTGCTTAACGAACAATGGCGCCTATAGAGAAATAAAAAAATATTTTTTTATAACGAATTTTTTTTCAATTTTGATTAAGAAAATGCATGAATTGTTTACTTAGATAAATAGTTAGAAGTAATAACGACGTATTTTAACGACTAATCTGTTTTAAAATTTGACAGTTGTAAGAACACTATAAAAAAATTAAAAAAATATTTTTTTTAAATTATATTTATTTATGGTAATTTTTTTTGAATTCGTTTTTTAATTTTGTTTAAGAAAATAAACGAATTGTTTACTTAGATAAATAGTAACGGCGTAAGTTAATGCCTGATCTCAGTACTTGTACGAACAATGGCGCCCATAGAAAAATAAAAACAAATTTGAAATTTTTTTTTATTTATGATGAAATTTTTTTAATTTTTTTAATTTTGTGTAAGAAAATGCACGAATTGTTTACTTAGATATGTAGTAACTATGTATGTTTACGACTAATCTGCTCTGAAATTTAACGGCAGTTGTACAAACAATGGCGCCTATAAAAATAAAAAAATATTTTTTTGAAATTATTTTTATTTATGATGAAATTTTTTTGAATTTTTTAAAATTTTAGTTAAAAAAATTCACGAAATGTCTACGGCGTAAGTTAACGTCTAATCTATTTGAGTATTTGACAGTACTTATACGAACAATGGCGCCTATAGAAAAATTAAAAAATATATATTTTTTAATTTGTTATATTTTTTAATTTGTTTTTAATTATGATGATTTTTTACTTATTTTTTTTTAAATTGTGATTAAGAAAATGCACGTATTCTTTACTTAGGTTGATAGTAACTGGGTATGTTAATGCCTAATCTGCTTGAAAATTTGACAGCAGTTATACGAACAATGGCGCCTATAGAAATTAAAAAAAAAAATTTTTTTTGAATTTTTTTTTTTGAATTTTGATTAAGAAAATGCTGGAATTGTTTACTTAGATAAGTAGTAACGGCGTATTTTAACGCCTAATCTGCTTGAAAATTTGACAGCAGTTGTACGAACAAGGGCGCCTATGGAAAAATATTATTTTTTAATTTTTTTATTTATGATGAAATTAGGTATTTTATTTATTTTTTTTTATTTTGATTAAGCAAATGCACGAATTGTTAACTTATGTTAACGACTAATCTGCTTGAAAATTTGGCGACAGTTGTACGAACAATGGCGCCTATAGAAAAATAAACATTTTTTTTGAAATTATTTTTATTTATGATTATTTTTTTTTAATTTTGATTAACAAAATGCACGAATTGTTTATTAAGATTGATACTAACGGCGTATGTTAATGTCTAATCTGCTTAAAAATTGACAGCAGTTGTACGAATAATGGCGGGTATGAAAAATGAAAAAAAAAATGTTTTTCTTAACACAGCTCCAAAGGCAACCTCCCACTAGAAATTAAATCACGACTTGTCTAGAAGACGTGACAGAGTAAGTAGTCAAAACAAAGTGAACTTTTCCTGGGTACCAGACCATGAAGCATATCAGGGCGAAGGAAAATCCGACAAACTAGCGCGAGAGGGCTTAGAAAAGGCCAAGACAGGCCCCGAATCCTTCAGTGGAGTTGTTGAGGCATTATTGTGCAAGGCATCCATCAAACAATGAATGTAAAAATAGTCTCTGGAATGGTGGAATAACTATCCATATTTAAGACAGATCAAATAGTTCATTAAAGAACCGTCGGCCAAGTTCACGAAAGACCTACTGGGCCAAAAACGACATATCGTTAGGATAACAATAGGTGTTTTACCCGACACTGGCACCTAAGAAGAGACATGAATGTCATTAATCCAGAAGAAGAAAAGAAGAAGAAGCAACATTGTGAAAGTTCTGTGAAGAAGAAGAGGAAACATCAATCTACGGTCTGTGCCAATGTGAAGGCCTGACTAAACTGAGGTTTCTAACACTAGGTGAAGAAAGGCCAGATTGCATGCGGTAGCCACTGTCAAAGCTACTAATAAAAAACCTGCTAGACGACATAGTCTAAATAAAGTCCCATAATAGATCCGAAAAGGTCGCGGTGGACAAGGACAAATAATGTCGAACTCCTTTCGAATCTAATTTAAGCTCTTATAAAAATTTCATAGTGTAGGAAATGTAAGCCCACTGTTTGGGCCTTTGGGATTTCGTCTAAGGATAGTTAATCAAATTTGTAAATAATACAGGAATCCACATACTCTCAGAGAATACATTAGGTATATAGCTACAGACTCGTCCGAGGGCAGTGTCCATATTCTCAGCCTACGGAGAGTTGAATAATTATAATTTAGGTAAGTAATTACAATTATGTAATTGAGTTGTCTTTGTCGTATTATGACTTCTCAAGATATCTTAGTTATTAACAAGTTGTGAACTTGTGTAGAAGCAAGGGTAAATAGTTACGTTAAATATTGATATTTGTTGTTAGTTATTGAGGATAAAGAGGTTGTATAAATTATAAATCATATTTGTTATGAAAACATTCTTTCGGATTACATTCTAAAAATGCCATATATATATATATATATATATATATATATATTAATAATATTATTATTATTATTAAAAATTTAATATATCGTAGATCGCAAATCGAAATCCGAAAGGTCAGAATTATCTGAAATAAGTTGTAGAATAATTTTAAAATTGGGAAACAAATCTCAAAAATCCCCCTATGAATTATTAAGACCATCCCCGAACCCCAAAGGTGAAAACACATATTTGGAGATTTGAAAAAAACCTGTCAGCGCCAGGATTCGAATCCAGACATCTTTGTTCTGTACATAAATGCCCTAACCACTGGACCATCGCGTCATTGACTGTCGGGATTCCCAGTCGATATTCGGGCCAAGCGCCGTCTTCTGGTTTGTTCTCAAATCTTTAAATACCTGTATACAGCATCGGTGTATATGAGAAAAGCATTTAGATGCATATCCCAAAGCTGAAAACTATCGGCTGGGAATCTCGACAGTCAATGACGCGATGGTCCAGTGGTTAGGGTATTTATGTACAGAACAAAGATGTCTGGGTTCGAATTCTGCCGCTGACAGTCTTTTTTCAAATCTCCAAGTATGTGTTTTCACCTTTGGAGTTCGGAGATGGTCTTAATAATTCGTAGGGGATGTTTGAGATTTGTTTCCGAATTTTCAAATTATTCTATAATTATTATTGTTTCCCTATTTTCAAGAATATTTTTCCAATTCTCGGTCAGCCATAACCGAATCTCTCCAATTGAATCTTTCGCCCTATATGCGATAAACTGAAAAATATTCCAAAATAAAAATCTTTTTAACAGTAACCAAGTAAATAAGATAATGAGGTAATTATCGAAATTCTACTTCCTCATTAGACAAGATTGTATGGTGTAATTTAAAGAAAAATAAATATAAAAATAAAGAGTGTTCCACAAAAAATATTTCTAAAGTAACCATGACCGACTAAGAGTCACGTCCATGATAATTATGCACTATTCTGAATTCAATCAAAACCGAGTTATTAAAGTAATTTTAAAGAACGCACTCCAAATATGTAGAGTTTTACACTAAATATACATAAAACAATTCCGATTAATTGAGAACTTGATCCTTTTTTGAAGTCGGTTGAAAAGAAAAAGAATTGTATACTCCGACATGTGCCAGTTTTTCCAAAGTCTACTTTAAAAACAATTTTTATAGTTCATTTATGTTATTATATTGTTAATTACCTGATAACGCGATTGCAACTTTATCGACTCCTCCTAGTGGCTTGAGGGCATCCCTCGCTTTGCTTCCGAACAATTTTTCTAGGTAGTTTGGTCCATGACTGGCTAAAAGTGATTTTAAAAAACTACCCGTTTCTTCTACTGGGGGCCTTTTGGCAGCTGTGCACAGACGGGAATCTTCATCATAACCGTCTGAACAATCTGGCGCCCCGTCGCATAAATATTGTATGGAAATACAATTTCCATCTCCAGGACACTTAAATGGTTCGTAAGGATGGCAAGCGTCACCTAAATAAAAAGTTTTTGTTGAAATATATCATTTAAATAAAATTAATTAGATGAATTAATTTTTTTCTGTTTTGTTATACACATTTTATTATTGTGTCGGACAAACATACTGTTCAAGTCGTCAGGTAAAAAATAGGGGATTACTTGGACATAATTCCGAACGAAATTTTTGGTTATTATTAGGGAATGACGTGGGGTGTAGGAATGTTAGTTTTCGACCTCGAGGAGCCTGTGCTAACTTGGCGGTGAAGGCTGGAAATTTTCGGACTTTCGATTTTTTGCTTCTTTTTCTAAACCATTCCTTTTTCGAAAAAAAGCGACCAAATCACTGAGAAAATAGCCTTATCTAACCAGTTTATCTGAAAATTATTATCTGGAATAGTTAAATTAATAATATTTTAATTTTTTATTTAGTAACAATTTCAGTTAAATGGAAATTTCTAAAAAGCGCCAGCTGTCCCAAGTTGAATGTTTAACTGAACTAAATTGATTTTGTTCATTGTTTTTTAGATGATCAATACATCTATTCTAGATAAAAAGTTAACTGAACTAAGTGTAACTAACTTTTTTAAAAAGTTTAACTGTTATACAAATTTTAAGTGTCTGTCTCAAATAAAATTTTTAACAAAAAACAAAAACCAGCTATCTTTTGCATCTGTTTTAAACAATGTTATTTAGACATTCAGTATTCGTGATTAATCGCATTAAATACCGATTTGCTCCGAGCTTCTTATTCTAAAAGAAGGACCACATCACCACAGTCGGAAACTACGTGTTCTATGGAGACAACGTCTCGGCGAACAAGTTCTGTATAATGGAGGTCAGCTGTTTATTTACCATGTAGGTGCGAAAGCGAAATAATTGGAATTTGACGAACAATTTGTGAAATTATATGAAAGTATGTACATTTTTATTTCATTATTCATGGCCTGTGCAGCTGTAAGAAATCAGGACTTCGGTGCTCGGTGATGTGCAAGCACTGCGGCGGCACTGTTTGTGAGAATTCGCCCGAGGTCGACTTTAACGAAGGCGATACAGAAGAAGAATGTGAGCACCAGCCCACCCCATTTGACGAAGGAAACAATGGAAACAATGATGATGATAGCGATGAAAATTTACCACTTGCTCCAAAAAAGATCAAAGAAGTCAGAGCATTCAATGTACCCACATATTGATTTAATCTTTTTCTTAAATATATAAATTATATGCAAAGATTTTTTTCCATAACATGCGAAAAATCGAAAAAAGTCAATATCGATGTTTTTTCCCGCCGTTTAGAATAAAGAAGCGAAAAATCGAAAAAAGTCCGAAAATTTCCACTATCGCCAAAAGTGTGTCTTTTTTCCATCGGTTTGTTGGAATCATTGTTTCACCGATGCGACCTTGAACGCCTTGTATTGGTTTCGGTTTATTTATGGTTGACCGTTGAAATAAATACCAGTTGACATTTTGGATTAAAATTTGGGTTTATAATTTTATTTGAATGTACCTCTATATACCTTAATTTGAAAGTATATATTTTTAAAAGACCATTTTTTCGTTTTTTCCCACAATAGAACAATTACATTATTAATTAACTCCTCAATGATGCTTAATTCCCTCAATCCAGCTGTCAGTTGTCACTTCTAATCGGAAAAACCATACATTGAAACTGATGGATTGGTGTTGCATTGATTGCAGTAACGTTGGATAAAGACAGCGCTGTTAGTTCATCATTGATAGTTTGATGAAAACAAGACAGGTAGCAAGGCTATCTTCATTCCGTTATATTACCTCTCGGGCGAAGTGCGTGTTTCATCACAGGATAAGGGCGGCGCCATTCAATGGGCCAGGGGTGACAAGATAAATAGATAGAAGAAATTATTAATGTAGGTAAAATAAATACAATTTTTATCACAAATATTTGTTTTCTTGTATAAACATTTTTGGGACACTGTAGAATAAATACATCTTTGGGGCACATTGATTATAAAATCTATTCAGTTCTCATTCTTTTAAGTTTTGCGTGAAATGCGCAAAATAAACTGTAGGAAGACGTATTCATATTATATTTATCTGCCCTCTTGACAACGATTTATTCATTACTTTCGAACGGTGTAAGTAATTTGGCTCCCGGCATGGCCTAAAATATGTATATTCAAAACCCTTAATCTATAGGTAAATTCGGTCCCACCAGCTTTTGACTACCTGAACCTTTCTGTTTCGGCTGAAAGTACCTGCTCTAGGAAATCTGTAAGAATGTATCTGCCCTCTTGACACTCAGCGGTTAAGTGCCAACTGAGCGCGTCTCCGGGTGGTGAATGGGAGAACGACTAGGTTTTTCCTGGTTAGTGGTAAACATAAGTAAAGTGAGAAAGCCTCAAAATCTTTTGCGAAGGTTACCGCCGCGAACCAACTCCCCCAATCTAAAGTGTAAGGTAACGTGCCGACGGATGAATTGTCGCAGGGGCAGATGCGGCAGCAAACGTTCCCCTGAGGAAACCTGGCGACACCCTCTTGTATATAGCCTTGCCGGCGCATGCGGGGTTCTGCGTCGGTCGACCTTTTTTTCCTTAGCTACTCGTGGGAACCATATGGATTCTGAAATACAAAAACCCAAAGAGGCTGGACGTCAACGCTCACCTCCAACAAAGGAGACTGGACAACAAAGTCTAACCTCGGCGCAGGAAGTTAGATAGCGACGGTCACCTCCAAAAAAGGAGGATGAATGTCAACGCTCACCTCCTGCAACGGAGCCTGGGAAACAAAGTTCAGCTCCTGCACATGAGGCTGGACAGCGACGCCCACCTCCAAATAGGAGGATATACACAGTACTTCACCTCCTTTAACTAACAGACCCCGGAGAGGCAAGAGAATCTCTGGACCTGAAGCAAAGAGGATGAAGAGAAATAAGCTGCAGGCAGGCAGTGCTACAGCAACCACCACCCTCAGCAAACCAAACAAAAGCGGCCTTATCAATTCGTTAGGCAGTGACGCTAGTTCTGCCTCCACAAGAGGCCAGGAACACGACGCAACTAGGGACAAGAAAAGGCCGCGATCTCACACCTCTTCCAAAGTAACGCCCTGGAAGGGATAAAACCCAGACAGGACCACAAAGTTCTGCCTGGGATAAGCTACAAGAATGCAGCTACGAACCACCTGAAAGTAGCTATAATAGACAAGGACAACTCTTACGATAAGATAACTACCAAAAGAGAAGTCCTTATCAAAAGGACACTGATGGGAGAGCTGGACAAAACAATTTTGTCCGCCCCTTGCAGCTAAACCAAGCCACCCACATTCCGGTGAAATCATCGGAATAACGTGCGACGATGACCTGACGTTGGAATGGCTAAAAATCAAGGTACCAACCTTAAAAATAAGGGAAGGACCAACAATCGCTGTTGTAAGGATGGACGAGCTCCCCAAGCTCACAAAAGCCTCTCTCTGGATCCCAGGGGCAACGCAAGCTGACCTTGACGAGAAGGAGGTTGTGCTCAGGCTCAGACTTGAAGGGCAAAATCCAAACTTGCATGTGGCGAAATGGTGCACCTTTTACCGTGAAACCAAAAAAGACCCCAAAGTCCACCTCTTCGTCTTCGGCATCGAAGACGAAGATATGGGAACCCTAACGGACAAATCAATGAGGATGAGCTATGCGTTCACCTCATTGACTATTAGGCCAAAGGCCGAAAAAGAGGTTGAAGCGGGGCCCAGTGAAGACTCCTTGGTAAAGAACCCTCTTCCCTTTCAATTTAAGCCAACAGTGGAGGACATCGAGCCAGAAAAAATGGCAATCGATGACCTCCAGCAAGAAAACTCACAAGAGATTACCCCCTCACCACTTTCGGAAGACGGGATGGTCGACTAAATAACCATCTTGCTGCCCAATTTTCAACGGAGGACCGGGAAGCAATAAAAGAAGTAACGATCATACAATGTAACTTGCGACACAAAAGGGCGGCTACGGCAACACTATGCCATCGCCTTGATGAGCTGCAATATACAATAGCACACTCATCCAGGAACCCTGGATAATAAAATTTTAGGTCTTCAAAATCAAAATGGTTCAATTTTTAGCTTTCCCAGCAACTGACAACCTAGGACCGCTATTTACATTTCTAGGAAATACAAAGCCCACTCAATGGCGCATTTTTCCACCTCCAATTTAACTGCGGTTAAGATGGAATACGCCATCAAAAGGGAAAATAAAACGTTAATCTTGGCATCTGCATACATCTCTTCCGACGCAACCACGACACCACCCAGTAAAGGAAGGATCTGATTGAATACTGCCTAGAACAGAAATTTGAGCTGATAATAGGTTGCCACTCAAACGTTCATCACTTCAGTTGGAGTAGTAAGGATAACAACGCTAGAAGCAAGTCAATTTATGATTATATAATTACAAAAAATCTTTGTATTTTAAATAAAGACACTACACCAACATTTTTAAACTCTCGCAGTCAAACACTAATATATATCACTTTATCTACAATTGGTATCTACAAATCAATTCTAAACTGGCAAGTGTCTGATAACATTTCGATGTCAGATCACCGCTGGTTAACATTCAAAATAAACTTGATGTTGCCGACCTCCACAAACAGGGTAACCTATGCCCCCTTTCTCCAAGAGCCTCTGAGAGAGATAGAGGCCGAAACACCAAACAACAATGCTTTGGAGAAGTACTCGAACACTATGCAAAGCACAAGAAACAATGCCTATAAGAAATCCTGTCTCCTGAGGCTGGTCCAACACGAATAGACGACTACCGCATGGTGGTGTCACGAGTTGGATCATATCAGGAAGATGGCTAGAAGATCCTTTAATAAGGCAAGAACCACAAAACTCAAAGAGGCCTGGGATACTTACAAATCTCACCTCAGAGAATACAAGAAATCGTCAGACAAAAACAGAGAGATGCATGGAGATTCTACTGCGAAGAAATCGAAGATTTCCTGAAGGCAGCGAGGCTTCAAAAAGCTCTCTCAAAAGATTCACACCGAAGCATTGGTGCC